CCTGAGTGTCCCCGTAGGGTCAGTGTGGCTCGTGCTGGGCCTTCAGCTCGGTGGGCGCCCTGGAGGGACAACTGAAGAGGAAAACAAGGAAGCTGTTGTCCCTCAGTCCCCAAAATCTGGTGGATTGTGTGGCCAACAACGACGGTTGCGGCGGCGGCTACATGACCAACGCCTTCGACTACGTCCGGCAAAACCACGGCATCGATTCCGAGGATTCCTACCCCTACATCGGCCAGGTGTGTGTGTATGGGGGGGACAAACTTCCCAAAATTCCTCCATCCCTCCATCCATCCCCATCTCACCTTGTCCTTCCTCTCCCTCCAGGATGAGAGCTGCATGTACAGCCCCACGGGGAAAGCAGCCAAGTGCCGCGGCTACCGCGAGATTCCCCAAGGGAATGAGAAGGCTTTGAAGAGAGCAGTGGCCAGGATTGGTCCCATCTCCGTGGGCATCGATGCCAGTCTGCCCTCCTTCCAGTTCTACAGCCGAGGTGAGGGGCTGGAGGGAAAGATTTGGGCTCATGGTGGCACATCCAAGTGGTGCCATCCCTCGTTTGTGTCCCTAAGGAGTTTACTACGACGAGAGTTGTAACGGGGAGAACATCAACCACGCGATGCTGGCGGTTGGGTATGGGGCACAGAAGGGCACCAAGCACTGGATCATCAAGAACAGGTAGGAATGGGATGAGTTGGGAATTGTTGATGGTTCAGACTCTTCCAGAGAGGCTCAGGCTCTGGTTTGGTTTTTTTTTTTTCCACTCACCAGTTGGGGAGAGGAATGGGGCAACAAGGGCTACGTCCTCCTGGCGCGGAACATGAACAACGCCTGTGGCATTGCCAACCTTGCCAGTTTCCCCAAGATGTGAGAGCTCTGCCCAACCTTGCCAACTTCCCCAAGATGTGAGATCCCTGCCCAACCTTGCCAACTTCCCCAAGATGTGAGATCCCTGCCCAACCTTGCCAACTTCCCCAAGATGTGAGAGCTCTGCCCAACCTTGCCAACTTCCCCAAGATGTGAGATCCCTGCCCAACCTTGCCAACTTCCCCAAGATGTGAGATCCCTGCCCAACCTTGCCAACTTCCCCAAGATGTGAGATCCCTGCCCAACCTTGCCAACTTCCCCAAGATGTGAGATCCCTGCCCAACCTTGCCAACTTCCCCAAGATGTGAGATCCCTGCCCAACCTTGCCAACTTCCCCAAGATGTGAGATCCCTGCCCAACCTTGCCAACTTCCCCAAGATGTGAGATCCCTGCCCAACCTTGCCAACTTCCCCAAGATGTGAGATCCCTGCCCAACCTTGCCAACTTCCCCAAGATGTGAGATCCCTGCCCAACCTTGGATGTGAGAGCCCAACCTTGCCAACTTCCCCAGGATGTGAGAGCTCTACCCAACCTCACCAGCTTCCCCAAGATGTGAGATCCCTGCCC